CTTCGTGCTTACGGTTTACAGTTTTGGTTTCAAATACTTCTTTTTAAAAAGGAACGGAGCCGGCAGGATCGCAGCACATCACACTATGATTTTCGCATTATGAGATCTTTGGGAGTTGTACTCTGATAATACTTTTTCTATGACATGTTTTAGTTATTTGAATATCTGGTTTTTGATTATGAAATAAGTTAACACTATGGATGTTTCAGACTACTGGTTTTATACTTAATTAAAAATGAAATTTTTGGTCTTGGATTTTGGGATGTTACAAATAATGTCATCAACATAAATTTGAACTATCATTAAATGGTCACCTTCCTTCTTCCGAAAGAAGGTTGGATCAACCGAACCTTGTTTGAATTTAGATTGTTTTAAAAAGCGAGTTAGAGTTTCATACCATACCCTCTGAGCTTGTTTAAGACCATACACTGCTTTTTCTAGAATATAACAGTGATTCAAAAATGTCTCATTCACAAAACCTGGAGGTTGTTCAACTAGACTGTTTCTTCAAGATATCCATTCAGAAATGCACACTTCACATCCATTTGATATACGTCAAGGTTTTTGTGAGCATCATAGCTTAGAAATATGCGAACTGATTCAAGTCTAACCATAGGTGCGAATTTCTCTTCGTAATCGATTCCTTCTTCTTGACAATAGCCTTTAACGACCAAACGTGCCTTATTGCGAATTACAGTACCTTCTTTATCCATCTTATTTCTGAATACTCATTTCATTCCGACCACAGATGCATCTGTTGGAGTAGGAACCAATATCCACACTTTGTTTCGATCAAATTCGTTTAATTCTTCTTGCATTGCTTGAACCCAATCTGCATGATCAAGAGCAATTTTAACGGTTTTAGGTTCAATTTTTGAAAACAAAAGAATTAAACATGCAAAATTCTAATTTTGAAAATAATGCATTTTGCTTCGCTTTTTGTTGAGCATGAGTGAGAACTCCTGAAGAAGAGTCTTCGATCAATTGATAACGGGGATGATCTTTTGTCCATTTTGTCATTGGTGGATAGTTCTGATCGTAGACTGGATCAATTTCAACAAAGATTTCTTCAAATTTGCATGTGACCCATCATTCAGATTTTATTTCTCCCCCTGGAAATTTGTATGTGATCCATCATTCAAATTTTATTTCTCCCCCTGGAGTGGAACATCTGTATTGAAGGTTGGAGTGGAACTCTACCCCTGGATCAGAACATCATGAGGTTCTGATTGAGCTGCATTTGGAATAGGTTGCTCGGGAGGAGTCTCAATTTCTTCAGCAGTTTTATCAACAATCTTTATTAATTCATCCTCCTGATAATCCTCAGCGTTTGATTCTGAGGAAACTGCCCTTTCAGGTTCATCAAACAAATGTAGAACATCCTCATATAGCTTCATAAGAGGAATAGTCTTAGAATTTGTTGATGGATTTTTTTTTCAGACTGACAATCTTCCTTTTGATATTTCTTCATGTAATTGTCATCAAACGTAACATAATAGGTTTCCTCAATTTTCTTTGATCTTTTATTCAGAACACGATATGCCTTTGAGGTTAATGAATATCCCAAAAAGATTCCTTCATCGGATTTTTCATCAAATTTGTTCTGATGTTCTTTGGAATTAAATAAAAAGCACCTGGATCCAAACACATGAAAGAATTTTACGTTAGGCTTTCTATTATTTAGAATTTCATATGGAGTAATCAGAAATCATTTGTTAATGTAAGAGCGGTTCTGAGTAAAACAAGCATTGACTATAACATCAACCTAAAAATATAAAGGAAGATTCGCAAATGAGAGCATTGTCCTTGTAGCTTCACAGAGAGAGTGATTTCGTCTTTCAACTACACCGTTCTGCTGTGGAGTGTAAGGCGAAGAGAAGTTGTGAGGAATTACTTTGTTTGTCAAGAATTCTTCAAATGCATGATTTTTGAATTCTAAACCGTTATCACTACGAATTTTCCGAACTGGCTTTCACAATTATAGCTCAACTCGTTTGATGAAATCAATGAGCTTCTAAGTTGCATCAGATTTCGGCTTAAGAAAGAATACCCAAGTAAATCGTGAAAAATCATCAACAATAACCAAAATGTATTTGTTACCGTCAATACTTTCAATAGCAAATGGACCACAAAGATCAATATACATCATTTCAAGTGGTTTAATGATCTTGGTATTTATTATAGAAGAATGACTCTTTCTACTTTGTTTTTCGAGCTCACAAGCAGCACACAAGTGTTCATTTTCAAATTTAAGAAAAGGAAGACCACGAATAAGATCACCAATCATGAGCTTGTTGATATCTTTAAAGTTCAGGTGAGAAAGCCTTTTGTGCCATAACCAACTGTCATTCGAGGAAGCTTTGGTAAGTAAGCATATGGATGGTTTCCCTTGGATCAGATTTAGATTTAGAGGATACATTTCTCCTCTCCTTATTGACTTCAGAAGAACAACTTTATATTTCTTTTCTATGATTTCTGAACCTTCTTCATCAAAAGACACTTTGACAACCTGTACCTACAACCAATTGAGAAACGCTAATTAGATTGTGTTGCAAGCCTTCAACATAAGCTACCTTCCGAATCATGAATTCTCCATTTATTATCACGCCATATCCCTTTATTTCTCCAGTGGCATTGTTTCCATACTTCACTTTTCCGCCATCTTTTAAGGTCCGAAACTCTCTTAATTCCGCTTTCCTTCCTGTCATGTGACGAAAACAGCCGCTATCAATGTACCATTCTGAATCATACTGCTCGTCACACATAACCTGCAAAATTTAAGCAAGTTTAGGAACCCAAGCCGATTTGGGTCCATGTGAGAGTTTCATTTGAATAGGAAAAATCTTTGTTTTGTCAACCCAAAATGATTTTCTTATCAAAGTATTGTTCATCCATTTTTTCAATTTTAAAAACTTTTGTTTTCTTATCACAAAGATTTATTTCAACAACAACAAATTTACGTTGAATATTTTCTTTGTGTTTTGAAGCCATCCTTTTCAAAAACTATTTTTATTCCCTTTTCAATTGTGCTTCACATTCTGCAAGAGTAATTTCTGGTTCCGAAACAACCTTGTTTTCAACATTAAGATCTTTCTTTTTGGCAAACGGTTTTGAAAACTGTGACTTTGGTGAATAACTTGATTTTGGTTTCGGAATTTGGGATGAATCAGTATTTTGATTAAAAGATTTTGACGAATTTACAGTGATTTTACGATCATCAGAAGCCTCCACAAATCTCCTCCGCCTTTACCCCCTCGCCAGATATCTCTCTTACTTAGAAAACCCATCTCTTAGTTCCATATCTGAAAATCGTGAAACAAAACAGTCGTGATTCCCACCCTCACTAGAAAGGAAGAAGACGAAGAAGGTTAATGGACAACCTCACCATTAGTTTGCATAGAACCCAAGATATTCATCAAATTGCCCTTCGTCTTCATCTTTTCTGTTCACAATAAGCAAACAAACAAAGGAAGATTGGGAATCAGAAGACTAATATGGCTACTGGTCCAATGCTAATCAATCATTTGAACACGATGACATGAAAGGAGGGGGGCTGGGATGCACCACACAACTGCCAACTAAGACCAATCTCTCTTCCCTCGCTAGAAAAAAAGGTAATTAGATCTCTTCCGCCCATCTTATTTGATGTTTGGTTTGGTGGAAGCTTCGATCAGAAGGTGTAAGTTTAAGATACGTAGATGTCATTGCAGGAATTGATGCTGGTGGAGGTGTCAGTGGTGATGAAGTTAGAGTTTGGACGAGGTAATAGTGACAAGGAGGAGTGTCGAGGTATGTTCTACGAAATGGTGGATGTTCCCTGTCTGAGAATTTGTGGGTCTGATTACAAACCCATGTTTCTGTTCTAAAAAAGGGTATGCATTCAAATCTTTATGTAGGAAATGGATTGATTACAATGTATGGAAAATGTAACCGATTACTGGAAGGACGCCAAGTGTTTGATGAAATGCCTAGTAGAGATATCGTCTCCTGGAATGCCATGGTTGCTTCCTATGCCCAAAAATGGATGTTTGATGATGCGTTGGAGATTTGTAAGACAATGATGTAATGTTCTACCTTAAAATCTAATGTAGGTACCATGACTAGCCTTTCCCCTGCTGAAACAATTTCTACTTCGTCTACCAATGTGATGTTTATGAAAGAAATGTTCATGAACCACGCTAGAGAGAGTTTAATTCCTTGGAATGTAATGATAGTTGTGTATGTCAATAACTCGATGCCTAGAGATGTAGTTAATCTTTATCAACAAATGGAGAATTACGTAATCGACCCGAATTCAATCACACTTGCTATGATTGGAGTGTGGTGGTGGTAGTGAAATTAGGAGAGAGAGAGAGAGAAGAGAGAGAGAGAGAGAGAGAGAGATAAAGAGATAGATACACACACACACACACACACACATATATATATATATATATATATATATATATATATATATATATATATATATATATATATATATATATAGAGAGAGAGAGAGAGAGAGAGAGGGAGAGAGAGAGAGAGAGAGAGAGAGAGAGTGTGTGTGTGTGTGTGTGTGTGTGTCATAAGGACCATTTGTGTGCAAAAAATAAAAGATATTTTTGTCATTTACAATTACTTAACAAAATTTGTTAACAAAGTTAGTCATAAGGATCTTTTGTGTGTAAGTTTTGCTCTGTTGGGACCATCTCAAGGAAAAAAATTTCGTAGGACCATATCAAAAAAAAACTGTAAAACTAAAAGACCATCCGTATAATTTATTCTTATTTTAAATAAGCAATTATAAACACCCTTTTTAATTTCATCAAGCCTTATAATATGTTAAGGCTTAGTTCGTAAACATAGTGGACAAAAACTTATAAATTTAACCAACATTTTGATTTGAATTCTAAATTTGGTTGGCTTAATGGGCCATTCAAATGGGCCCAATTGACAAATACGGCGGTACACTCCACACATTCACATACATAATTACACATAACGAGATTTCCCCTCACCGAACTCTTTTATTGACGCTCTCTCGAATCTCCTAAAGCTCTTTCTACGTTGGTCTCTCGGTTATCGTTGCCCTTTCCTCCAAGCAAACACCACAACACAAACCTCTCTTTTTCTCCCGCTCGATCGCGCCAACAACCAGAAGCTCCTCCAAATTATGCCGACAGGTCCATTAATCATTGAAATTGCAATTGATTTATACGTTGATTCACGAATCAACACCAGTTTGTGCACATCATTGCTTGTGATTTATGTAAAGTAAACACATTTCATTGTAGTTAATTTCCGGTTTATATGTTACTTACTTGCGATTATTGACTTTGAACGTGTTCTAGTTAATTTAAATCGTTGTTATGCTTCAATTTACTTATCTAGGGCTCAATCTGGGGAATAAAATTATGTAAGTTCTGGTTTTTGATGGATTGACATTGGTTCTCTTATGTGGTTTGCTGGAGACCAATCAATGAGTTTCATTGTAGTTACGTGACTAGCTAATCTTTGTGTATTCGATAGAAAATTATATTTTTTTTATGTATAAACAATATCTCACACTGGCACACATTGTAAGTTCATATGCCTTTCATTCGAAAAGAAAAATATGCTGCTAGAGTACACTGGGCACAACTTCACACAATTATATATGCACTTACTTGACAACTTTGCAGTTTAAAGTTTCTCTTAAGAAGGTATGTTTTTGACACTTTCATTCATATGTTCTTATCACAGTGAGTGTGAAATGGCAAAAAGAGCTATACCCAGCAGTGGAGATAGATACAACCCAGCCTCCATATGTTTTTAAATGTCAGTTGTATGACCTCACAGGGGTACCACCTGAAAGGCAAAAGATAATGATGAAAGGTGGATTATTAAAGGTAATCCTGTGTTTCTACTTTCTACACCCCATAAATATAGTATTAGACTATCTATTATTTGAGATCTTTATATAATCTCCCTAATTTTTTTGTTAACAGGACGACTCTGATTGGTCGAAATTAGGGGTTAAAGAGGTAAATAGCCTTTCTCTAGCATTTGAAAACAGTTAATTGTCTCACACTTATGGAATTGGTGGTGATTATTCTTTTATTATTTATAGGGTCAAAAGTTAATGATGATGGGAACTGCTGATGAGATTGTAAAGGCTCCAGAGAAGGGCCCTGTTTTCATGGAGGACCTTCCGGAAGAAGAACTAGCAGTTGCTGTGGTAAAAACCTCTTGCCTATTTATTTGCACATGTAAAATTCATTTTAGGTTATTTTACAATTGATGCTTGTAGAAAAACTAACCTACCCTTTTTCTATTTTTATAGGGGCATTCTGCTGGATTATTCAATCTGGGAAATACCTGTTACATGAATTCCACCATGCAATGTTTGCATTCAGTTCCAGAGCTTAAATCTGCTTTGATTGAGTTAGTTCTTGTTCTCTGTTTCAAGTTAATTGTCAACTGAATGTAATTATTTTCTGTGATGAAGTTGATAAATCTTTTTGAAAACTTGTTATTAATCAGGTATCCCCAATCTGGCAGAAGCAATGATTTAGATCAGTCTTCTCATCTTTTGACTGTTGCAACACGAGATTTATTTAGTGAGCTTGATAAAAATGTCAAGCCAGTTGCACCTATGCAGTTTTTGGTGGTATACATTTCCCCCTAAAGATTCTTCATTGATTGATCGTTTTTTTTTTTTCAAATAATTCTCAAAAGGGTATGTTTATTAATGACAGGTATTGCGGGAAAAGTATCCTCAATTTGGTCAGCTGCATAATGGATCCTTCATGCAACAGGTTTCTTTGACTTTTTTTCTTTTTATGATTTTAAATTTTTATTACTCAAATTGTCTAATCTTTTTAATTTTGATACTGAACACCAGGATGCTGAAGAATGCTGGACACAGATTTTGTATACTCTATCTCAAGCTCTTAGATCTCCAGGTTCCAGGTATTTTTTGTTTTTGTTCATGATTTCTTTTTAAATAGAAAACATTCAATTTTTTTTTTCTTTTCAAATTGATAACCATTATATTGTTTTAATTTAATGTACAGTCAAAGTATCGATACAGTGAAGGGACTTTTTGGCATTGACCTTGTTAGCAAGTATGCACTTGTTGCATTTACTTTACATAACATTTTCATTTATTAATTTATCTGATATCAGATATTTTATTTTATTTGACTTTATGTTGACTTTGTAGGGTGCATTGTGCTGAGAGTGGTGAAGAAAGTTTAGAAACAGAGTCAATTTATTCTCTTAAATGCCACATATCACATGAAGTCAATCATTTGCATGAGGGGCTGAAACATGTAAGTTTTGTTATATATATATATATATATATATATATATATATATATATATATATATATACTTTTATTATTGTACTTATTTGATCAAGTCATTTATATCATCATATTTCATAATTAATTATTGACTTATCTTATTCAGGGGCTGAAATCAGAGCTAGAAAAGGCTTCTCCTTCTTTGGGTCGAAGTGCAGTTTACTTGAAGGATTCACGCATTAATGGATTACCAAAGTAAGATCACTATTATTATTTCAAATTTTTTGTTAAAAAATTATGTTGACTTTTCTTAAAACTTATTACTTTATTTGCAAGGTATTTGACTATTCAATTTGTGCGATTTTTCTGGAAGAGGGAATCGAATCAGAAAGCAAAGATTTTGAGGGTAATAAACTAACTTACCCTCTCTCCAACAAATTATACTTGTCAATTTGACAATTATTGTATGTTATTACTGAAAAGTCAAGATTTTGTTGACTATTTGTTTGTTTAAAATTTTCAGAAAGTGGATTATCCATTGGAGTTGGATATTTTTGATCTTTGTTCAGATGAACTTCGCAAAAAACTGGAAGCTCCTCGTCAGGTTTGTAATTTTTTATTTTTTATATCATCAATGATTTTTCTTTTTTCTTGTGATATCTGTTAATAAACTAAAAGGTAAAACAATGATGTTTATACTTTATATGTGATGATATCTGTTGATATTTGGATTTCAATTTTTAATATTGTAGATGTTAAGAGAGGAAGATGGTAGAAAGGCTGGTTTGAAACTCAAAGAAAAAACCCCTCCTGCTTCAACAGACAATGATGTTAAGATGTCTGATGCAGAGGTATTTAATTTTGTTTACAATTTATATAAATTCTCTTGAATCTTACAAAAGATATATATATATATATATATATATATATATATTTAGAAAAAATAAACATTTGTTTTTGTTCCTACAGGGACCATCAAATGAAAGTGGAGAAGTATCTAAAGCTGCTTCTGGAGAAGGTTAACATTTTTTATCATTATGAAGTTTCCTTTTTTTTTTTTTTATAATTATGATGATGATGATGATGATGATGATGATATATTTCAGATAAGAAAAAGCAGTTAACGGGAGTATATGATTTGGTTGCTGTGCTGACTCATAAAGGCAGAAGTGCAGATTCAGGTCATTATGTTGCTTGGGTCAAACAAGAGAATGGTCAGTCCATTCATTCTATTATTATTATTATTATTATTTTTTTTACCAAAATATATGAAAAAAGTAATTGATATTGGTATAATAATATAATAATAATAACAGGGAAATGGATCCAATTTGATGATGATAATCCAATCCCACAAAGGGAAGAAGATATAACAAAACTTTCTGGAGGAGGTATGAAAAATAATTTAATTATTTGAAATATTTTAGATATAGAGATACAATTTATAATCTTTGGATTTTGATTGTTTTGTTGTTATAACAGGTGATTGGCATATGGCTTACATTTGCATGTACAAGGCTCGCACCATTGACATTTGAGATTTGAGATGTAATGTTATTTATTATTATAATTATAAATTATAATCATATCGTGTTTGATTGATGATGATGTTTTTTTAGTGAAAATTATACACGAGAGACTTGCGGTTTGATGCAATGTTGATTGATTCATCTGTTTTGTGTTCTTTGAATTCCATGGATATAATTAATAGTTATAGAGATTATATTAGTAAATTGATCAACTGTTTTTTGTATATCGACGTTATTATACGTTTTGAGTGACTATGACATGTTACCCAATTTGGATTGCAAGTTTAGGCCCAATTAATAGGAAATATTTTATATGATATGTACATATCTAGAGGGCTAAAAGGTGCATTGATATCATATTTAGAAGCCTTTGATTTGGTTTTATTTTTTTGATATGCCTTTTATTCTGTCAGACATCTGGTTGAATCAAATTTTGATTTAATTCAGATCTGACTTAAGTCAATAATTACAACTTTTAAGTGATTATCATATGCAAATGGTGGTATTTCATATACAAATTTGGAAGGTTGGGAAGACTTTTGATTTATTGCAGGTTTTCTGATGCATTAATTATTATAATTAAATTACAGGTTTGAAATTACCAAATACGAATATGCTCTCTAATGCTTCTGTTATGTGATGTAAGCCATGGTTCTCACATTGATATGCTTTGTTTAATGTTTAAATTCATGTGATTTCATTATTATTTGTTTATTGCATATGTGATGTATTTTTTATTATGTCGTGAGAATACTTTGTTGTTTCTGTATTGAATGAGCAAATGTCAAATGATGCTACTTTTGAAGGTTATTTAGGTTTCATGCAAAAAGAAAAAAAAAGAACTACACCAATATAAATTAAAAAATATAAAACGTTTGTCAATTTGTTATGGTTATTTAAATGGTTTATAATGATTAAACTTTTTAAACGCTTTAGTAACCGGGCGTACAACGATTCCAATCTATATTCAATTTTTTCTTTTGGAGTTTTAAGCTTGGAATTTGTAAATAAGTTGTATTGAATATATTTTGGTGTGATACCAAGAAACAAACAAGGAGAGTGGGCGTGGGGGCCGGAATGGAGAAGCATTTCTATTGGGAATGGTCTAGACAAACAAGGAGGAGAGGACAAGCATTTCTATTGGGAATGATCTAGACAAACAAGGAGGAGATGACCTGAAATGAGGCAAAGACTTGACTGATATGTTGAATAATTTTCAGTTTCATTTTTATAATGACAGGTGGACTTGGAGTGCTGATAACAAGAGAGATTTCTCGATCAGATCTTTAAAGCTTCTTATGGAAAATCATGTTGCAGATATGACAACTTCTTTCAAATGGGTTGGTTGGATCCCGTTGAAGATCAATTGTTTTGTCTGGAGAACGATAAAAAATAAGATTCCTTTGGTTCCTAACCTGATGAGACATGGTATAGCGGTATCGTCCAACTTATTCACTTTCTATCATGTTTTTGATGAAGGGCTGGATGACGTTTTCTTTTCCTGTGGTTATGTGTCATTGTTGTGGAAGTGGCTTGCGGAGTGGTCTGGAATTCTTCCGGAACAACCCTTTTCATCTCTTGATTTGGAAAGGATGCTTAATCAGGTTAACATTGAGAAAAAGACTCAAAATTTGAAGTTGTCATTAATCTATTGCACCATTTGGATGATCTGGAAAGCTAGAAACGCAAGTGTTTTCAGGAATGAGAAACGATCTACAATGACGATTGGTGATGATATTAGCATGTTTACGTTTAACTAGATTAAGAATAGATCTAAATTTAATGCTCTTAACTGGCATATGTGGTGTAATTCTCATTTATATTGTTTTTCATGTACTTTGTCTTGAGTGCATTGCTTAAGCTTTTGTTTTTTCTTTAATGAAATGTTTGCTGTTAAAAAAAAAAAAAAAACCAAGTAACAAAAATAATACTCCTATTGCATTTATTAGTTCATATTGTATTTAATGAAGTTGTATCGTTAATGTAAAATTTTTATTGGAATAATTAAGTTCAAATAATATTTTTGTTGTTATTTATTATTGTAAATTGCATGAATAAGTTTTATACTAATATTCACAATAGAATTTTACAATAATAGTACACATAGTTTAAAACTATAATACAAATCTACGTTGTAAATTGGGGTTTTGGTAGTACATAACATATTCTATAATTAATAACAACATACATAAAAAATAAAAAAATTTAAGATATATATTTGTAAATATAATTTAAGCTAAAATCAGTACTTTTAAAATCACAATGCTAGAAATGTACAATTTAAGCATATTAAAATTTTTAAAAATAGAATAAATAAAAGTCCCCTAGAAAAAAAGTAAATAATCAATATCCCATATTCCTTCTCAATATCAACCGGATACTATATTTTTACCCGTATTATACATATAATCAATCAAATAATATATTTTACATTTAATTATATATCTAAATAAATAAATAAATCAATTTTGATCAAATTCTTTGATCTAAAGGCTTAAAATTGCTAACCTTTTATGTTATCAATGTATTCTCACATTAACCATCCTTTGAAAGAGTAACTATTCATATTGTTGGAACCGTATAAAATACTAAGTTACAACCCGTGAAAACCACGGACAAAAAGTTTATAAAACATTTATAATTATTATTAAGAGTTAAGTTTTTTTTTAAACTTTTTGTATTGATTATTTAAAATTAATATATATATATATATATATATATATATATATATATATATATATATATATATATATATATATATATAACATAATATAAAATTGAGTATATTGTAAATGATTTATAAAACAGAATATAATTTTGAATAGAGTTCAAAGTGAAACACAATGAATAATATAAATGACATTGATATATAAATATAAAAAATAAAATATAACATAAATGTAATAAAAAAAACACAATAGTTTGACTTTAAAAACTACGAATCATTTATAAATTTCTAAAAACTTCCTTATAAACAACATTGGAAGTTTTGTTTGTAAGTCTACCATTCTTATCTAAAATTAACAATTTCAATCATTCTCTACTTTGAACTCTAGATAAGGCAACATACAACTGTCCATGTGAAAAAACATGATCTTTGAGATACAGACCAACCTTCGATAACGACTGCCTTGACTTTTATTAATTGTCATTGCAAAACATACAGCCAATGGAAACTGTCTTCTTAGAAATTTGAAGGGATTTTTTTCCAGAAGGAGTTAAAGACATTTTTGGAATAAAAGTTCGGTTTCCAATATTACTTCCAGATACGATAACTGCCTCAATAATACGTTTGCCCAGAGATTTGACTTGTAGTCTAGTGTCGTTACATAAGCCATTAAAATAATTAAAATTATAATATTTGTCAATTAGAAAAGAAATGCTATTAAGATGACTAAATTGTTGACATACCTCTCGTGGTGCGTGCAAATCAACAACATTTTTAAAATTGTGCTTAATCAAAAAGTCATCATATTCAGAATATGATTGAGAGGTATCAACAGTCAAAGAAGAAGAAGGGTTTTGAAGTCCTCGTAGACCAACCAAGTTGTTTTTCATTAAGGAGGTTAATTATAAAATTAGTAAAATTATTAAAAGAAACAAAAAACCAATGAATTATTAAAATAGTTAGTAACCTTTCAGTAAAGGTAACAATATCCGGAAGATCAACATTTATGAACATGCGAATGTGATCAAAATGACTGTTAACGGAAGGTAGTCCTAAAAAACAAAATAAAAGACTCAAAAGAATGATTAACATAAGAGTATAAAATAAGGTTACTTTGTATAAAAAACATACCGTTATAGACATTAATCTTTGAAAATTGCAATAGAACAATTACACGACCATTTTCTTTATGATTTTCAACATAAGAAATCAATTGATATCCAATTTCTCCGAACAATGTCATGTTAACCTGTAAACCTCTGCAAAAATAATAATGGTTAAATGATTACATAATAAAAAAATAACACATACAAAATTAAAAGTAATGAATATAATATAAGAAAAGTTATGCTTACTCTAAGTTCCGGATCTGTAAAGGTAGCCTATGCTTGGATTTGTTGACATCACGGGAATCAAGTTTTCCTAATGAAACAACTTCACCAATAACATCTAGAAGAATATAATACAATATGTCAAAATGATGTAAACTTAAAGTAGAAAATAAAATATACAATCAAAATAGATTGGATATTATTAGTTAAAAGAAGGGGAAAAATTTACCAACTGAGTCATTAGATGTAGTTGTTGCAGAGATAATTGTTTCAAACGAAACACAAGAAAATCTGTATGTTGATTTGGATTGAAACTGTAGACACTCCTTCACAGTTGTTCTTCCATGCAAGTTTAATTTGTCATTTACATCACTTATTTTAAAAGTGTATCTGTTAGGAGCGATAGTGGGGGATCGAATGAAAACAACACAATCTTCTTTCAGTTTCTATTCAAGCCTTTCAAAATCTCTTGGATAGACACTTGCTCGAATTTTAGTACACTATTCAGATAGGATAAGAATATTATATAATGTTAAACAATTGTATTTTAATAAACAAAAATTGGTTAACAATGTAAAAAAAATATTGTTATTGGAATAGCAGATTTTACCATCTCATCCATCAATATCATCTCCATTGATTTTACTATAGTGGCCTAGTGGGGTTAACATCCGAAATTGATCTCCATAACCGGATAATAGACACTTTTAGTGTGTAATCATCCTTCATATTATCCAAGTCTTTAATCAAAGTGATGTTTCTCTCTGCCATTGTCACTGTAACAATACATAAAAGAAGAAAGTATTATGTATAATGTGAGTAGATAAAGTATATGGAAGAACACAACCAATAATGGAAATGACATTGATATACAGAAAGTTAAATAAAATAGTAATAAAAATAAATAAACAACACACAATAAAATAGAATTAAAAAACTACATTTTCAACCTCCTGACTTTGGTATTGCAATTGAAAAAAAAAGGTATGAATAGAACATGTATGTGTTGTTTTACATGAAGGGTAAAATGGTATTTGATCCAACCATGATTTCGTTATAAATAAAATCAGTTATACCAAATATCATATCCATAAATGCAATAACATAAATTTAGTACAAGAATGTTTGCTGTTGTATTACAATTACATAAATGGTCCTATTACTGTTATGTTTACATGAAAATGTAATTATTATAAAAACATCA